ACCACGCTCAAGCACATGGGCATTATGGCCCCTGGCACTGGTTCTCCAGGGTTTGTGCAAAGTTCTCCCTACTTTAGGTCTGCTTCGCCTTTCCAGAAAACAAAAGGATCATTTTTAGCGGGTGCCCTTGTCAGCTGTTTCTCTAAGAATAGGGCCTTTGATAACATCCAGAAAAAAAGTAATTGTGCCACCGCCCCTGCTTCATTTACATAACTGAGATTGATGAGAAGGGAAGGAAAGTGTTTACAGTGCAGGAAGATAGGAATTTCGGGATTAAGTAGGAAGCAAACCGAAATGAGCTGTCTGGGGTAATTATGAAACACATACTTCATATGTTTTCATTAGATATTGCTATTATACTACACAAGGCAAAGGAGTTTGATTAAACTACAGTTCAGTATATAAATGTATGCATAAATTACAGGGAAAGCAGTTACTTCATTACATTCCAAGAACTCTTCAGGGACATTAAATAAGTAGAAATTTAGCCATTAGGTATACTGCCTTAGAATAAAACTGTGGTCAGGCGAGGAGCATGGAGGCACAAAACAGGTGAAAAGTGTGCACACAAAGCACAGCCAAGAAAACTGGATGATCATGGATTAAACAAAGTGAAAGCCAAGGTGGCAATATGGCGCACCTTATAAGAAGCCGTAAGAACTTTGTAGCCGTTGTTGAAATCTATTGAAAAACAATTTCCTTAAAATCGTCTTTGCCTACATTATATAAAATATTTTACCCATTCCCATCTGTGTCTTGTATGCCGTTTGTACTTTTTTGACTGCCAAAGACAAAAAGAATGGCTTCTCATTGTGTCAAAGATCTCAAAGGGCAAAGATGTCAGGGCATCTTTGAGAAAGCATCTGGGAGCTACTGTTATTCCTCAGGTAGCCAGAAGCACTAGCCATCGGTTCATCTTCCCTGGATAGTTCTTTGTCCATGAACCACAAGATCATTTGGTCCTTTGGAGGCTCTCTGAGTCTTGCCTTGGACTAAAGTCAAAGGAAAAATGGGTTTCTTCTGGCCCCTATCATGAGCATTCCCTCTCCTCCTCAAACACTCTTTGCTAAACATTTTCTTTAGTCAGCCACTGTGTCAAAGTGAACTGATATATTATACTCACTCGACAAATATTCCTTCCACAAAGACTTGCCTTCTAAGTGAAAGACAATGTTTTACTTTCCTAGGGCCACTGGAACAAATTATCACAAACTTGGTAGCTGAAGACAAAGAAATTTATTGTCTCACAGTTTTTGGTGGCCGGAAATCCAAAATCAAGGTGTTAACAGGTTGGTTCCCTTTGAAAGATGTGAGGAAGAGACTGTCTCATTGCTTTCTTTTAGCTGCTGGTAGTTGATGGCAATCGTTGATACTCCTTGGCTCACGGACAACTCTATCTCTGTCTTGACAGTGCTTTCTTCTTTACATCTTTGGGTCTTCTCCTTTTTCCGTGCCTTGAAAGGATAGTCTCACTGGCTTTAGGGCCCACTGTAATGCAGGTTTATCTCATCTTGAAGCTTGTCTTAATTATATCTGAAAGGACCCTTACTCCAAGTAAGGTCATTTTCCGAGGTTTTGAATGAACATGAATGTTTAGGAAACACTATCAAACCCATTACACAGATTAAATTGGATTTGGCTTCAGAAGTTATCAGAGCTTTAGAGATCACAATTCAGAGCTTATTTAAGGTCCCACAGATGTCTACCATGTTAGCTAGCACATGAGCAAAGTCCTGATTGAGGCTCAAGACGTTTGGCCAAGTCCTCAGCGCAAGGTCTTCAAACTGGGTCCAGGGGAATTCCAGGTTTTGGAAGAGGCATCTAGGGATAGAGGTAGGACAGTTTGGGAACCTCTATATAAATGATATTTTAACCAGAGCAAATTGGCCTTTTCCTGTTTCATATATGGTGGTTTCATGTAAAAATTTATTTGTAAAAGAGAATCCACTTCATCGATGATTGAAAGTTAGTGGCCAAGAATTCCATGTCCACACACATATTTTTTTCAAAAGTGGTTCCAAGGAGGAAAGCACATTACAGGTTTCAAAATGTGGCACAAAACTGACTGTATCACCTCCCAAGTATCTGAGTGATGGCTCGTAGGGCTAGTACATTTCAAGAAAAGAGGTGGCTGTCAGGGAAGGTCTAGACCCTAATGTGCTCCTTGGATGAGCGACCTCTTTTTAGCACTTTTGAAACCAGAAGCTTCAAATAGGACTGTAGACTATATTCTGAGAACAGAGCAAAGCATTGCATAAAAGGCTCCTCCCTGAATGCTTAGGGTGTGAATGCTCCCAGCTTAGAGCCAGGCTCATTCATTGCCCTCACGCTGGCACCTGGCTAGTAAGCATGAATCCTATTGGGTTGAGAGAAGCAGACTTGGGTTGAGGTACAGTGGTGATTATTCGGGGAGTTGGGGAAAGCTTCTTTCACTCACATTCAGGCTTCTAAGCCCTTCAGCACCCCCAGAGCAGCGAGACTGTTGAAATTACAGAGGCTTTCTGGACTCTCACATCTGTTTATGAATAACCCCAAACCCTAAGCTAAGCAAATCTATTTAACTCAATGTAATTATAAATATGAGCCTTTATTATTCAAATGACTTCTTCATATGCCAGGAAAACCACCTTGCAAAGCTTATTAGGAACCACAGAACAGAAATCTTTGTTCGCAGAAATGGCAGATGTCTTAAAGCAAAACAAAGCAAAATAATAATAAAATACTCAACCTCCCCCAAATGGCAGCTTTTTATGCTAGACGAAGAATAGATATTTGACCTCCAAACCAGTAAGATGTCTGGAAGGGAAATAATGGTTGTTTGGCCACTTGCTGCTTCATTTTGATTAACAGGCTTCTACTTCTGTTGGTTTGGGATGCTCATTATGAAGTATTGCCTCTGAGATCATGCGGAGTCACCTCTGAAGGTCCCTTCCCTCCACTCTCTCCACCTCCTTCCCCACTCCACTATTACTACCAAATAAAGAGTAATTCTAGATTTTACATTCTCTGACATTACTTTGATCTTAAGGGCATGCTGGACGCTCATTTTGTAGTTGCTAATCAGTTTTGTTGCCTTGACTTAAATTTGTTTCTTTGGAGATGGGACTGGAAAAGGGGGAAAGTGCATGCTTTCATCAAAGCACTCTCTGTTTAGGGTGCTTTTAACCAGGAGCATGGGTGGCTTGGTCAAGGGAGTACGTGAGAGTGATGGCACAGAGATGAGGGCTCATGTCAACAAGTGGGGTGCTGGGGTCACTTTCTTCAGGGAAAGTCCAGGTAACTGGTGAAAGGCACAGCCTCTGCGTAAAATTCACCTGTCACTGATTAGCAGGTGACATAAGGCAAGGTCCTAGACTCTCAGTTGTGAAAATTATATAGATCTACGCGTGAAGTCTTTGGACCTGCACCTTTGTAAATGTCAGGTATGAAACAAGTCAGACAAGGGCACTTTCTTCGTGGTCTCCATGATCAACCAATTCATGGGTTAATTTCAGATGCTGTGTGAAATAATAAGAAACAGGAAAGGGGCAAAAGCCTAGTTAGAAAAAAGAACTTGACATGAGAGGATTAGAAATGAAAGTGCATAGTTACTGGAGTCCAGGCAGGAGGGGTGGTGATGGGAGATTAGGTGAGGGAGGCAGGTAGGGGACACATGGTGCGGGGGCCCTGCAGGCCACATAAGGGAATTAGATTCTCCCTAAATGTAGTGAGAATCCCCTGGAAATGACATCAGGAGATTTATGCTTTAAGGAGATCCTTGGTTTATTGGGTGGATTATGAACTTCAGAAAGAACCAGGAAGGTCAGTTAGGGCGTCAGTGTCATAGGAACAGCACAGGGTTTACAACTGGAACATCTATGTTTGATAGCAGTGTGGTCGTGAGTAAGCTTCCTGAGACGTACTTTTCTCATTCGCAAACATGGGAAACAGTAATACCTACTTTTCAGGGATGCTTTGAAGATGAAATAAGATGATATATATGGAAATGCTTGGCGAACTGTAACAGTAGACAAAAAAACAGTTCTTAAAAATGTTTCTATGCCTGTTATCTAAAACTGTGTTTTTAAATATATGGTTCTCATGCCATCTGCATCAGAATCACCTGAGGTCCTTATTGAAAGCACAGAGGTCTTAGTTCGGAATTCTAAATTTCTGCCCACTTTTCCTAATCCCCAGTATTGTCCTGACTGACGCATTGCAGCGTGGTGATGAAGAGTGTGCAGGCTGGGGCAGGACAGCCTGTTTTCAAATTCTGGCTCTGCCTTGACAAGTTTCTTTACTTCTGTGCCTCACAGCCTCATCTGTAAAATGGGAATGATTAATTGGAGCCCTTCTTTTATTGGATTTTGAAAAGGCAAGTGAATTAGTACATATAAAGGACTTAGAATAGAGATCAACTTACGGTAAACACTAAATGAACGCCAGCCACTGTTACTGCCCAGGAGGGGCCTGATGGGGTGCAGATGTTAGTGTTGGACACAACCACTGAAGACTAATCTTTTGACATGCAAAGACACAGTCCTTGTTTGTGAGGTGTTCCCAGGCTTGCAGAGGTGATAGACATACAAGCATATAGATACATCGCAATGTCATAATTGGATAACAGAAAATTCATGCTGGTGAACTTGGGTTTTAATGTGCATTCCATGATGATCTCTCTCTCTCTCTTTCTCTCTCTCTCTCTTTAAGGCCCAGTTTACTATTCTTCTATCTTTAGAACTGTTAAACCTGGCTAGCTTAAATGTCAGTTAAAATAGTATTTAAATATTTGGTTCTGAGATAGGAACTTTGGAGAAGAAAAATAACTACAAAAGCTTTATTTCCTTTACTTTTCTCATAGGCCCCTCCTGGTTTGTGTTCCAGTAAACATTTATATTTATAGCTCATTGAATAAGCTTGCTTCAGCTTTAAAGAATTCAGTGCAGCCTGGCTTGGGGTATGGAAATGCTAGGAGAGCTGAGAGCATGAGGAGCAAGCCGAGTATAAAATGAAATCTTGGATAAAGGATCTTTAAAAGTTTTTACTTCGGGTGTAGACCTTTTAATTTGGTCTTGGGTCTTTGATGTATTCCATGAAATAATTTATTAAGTTCTCATTATATGAATATATATACAACTTTACATGATTTCCAGGGGTTGTAGCATACACAAAAATGCAATGTATGTACCAAGTGGGCTATGGTGGGGCAAGGGCCATGAATACTGGAGCCATTTAGAAAAGGAAGAGAGTCAGGGGCAGCTTCATAAAGGATATGGTTCTTCAACTGGGCCTGGGAAGAAGTCTAAGAAAAAATAAATTGACAAAGAGATATTCTAGTACTTGATAAGTGTAGGGTACCTAACCAAAATAAAGACCTTTATAAGACCCATCATAGGATAGAACATTTTTGAAGCTATAACATAATTCTGGAACTGATTCTTTCATCTTGGACAAATCATATTATATGCTTATTATTTACTTTCTAGGTTTTACAGGGGCAACACACATTGGCGTCAGGAGTGTTGGTTCCAGAAGACCGCTTGAGAATCAAATATGCGCTCTACTGTGTCAGTGTCACCTAGGTAGGTTACATGAACTTTCCTGACTCTCATTTTTTCTAACTTTAAAAATGAGAGTAATAATAGTACTTGCTTCATGGATTTTTTTTTAACTGGTGAGTGTATTGATGGCATATTTGGACATAGGCTTGAGTAGAAGTTATGATCAGATCAATACAAATGTTTTCTTTATATTTAGGAGCTCTACTTAAGAGAAAAAGTGGAAGAGGAGAAGAAGTGGATTACATTTTTAAAATTATCATCAACATAAATTGAGTCTCAGGTAAGTAAACGCCTTCACAGATGTGCATACTGAGTGTTCATTCAGCCAACCCAGAAAAAATATGAAGAAGGCTCCTACAGTACCATACTTATACTTTCCAAATGTGGTTCATGGATATCTAGATCACGTCCACCTCTTCACTGCCATTTTAATCCTTGCTTAGTCTCATTTCCATCCACATCTACTATGGAAGGCTCTCAGAGGTCACCAGTGCCCTTTGAAAAACCAAGTCCCTTTTGACCTTGTACAGCACTTGACATAATTGTCCATTTCTCTGAAATGGTCTCTGATGTGGGCTTCCTTGATGCGGTACAATTGGCCTATAGACTTTTTCCTAAAGTTTGGCTATTCATATAACACTATCTTTTTTTTTTTTTTTTCCATTTCTGCACTCTGCCTACACTGTGATTTAATCAATAATTTTCTTTACATGCTCACTTTTTATAAACTGACCTAGATCTATGTAATAATTATGAAAAAAAAACAATGCTGATACTAGAGCAGAAAAACCAGCATCAATTGCCATAAACAGAGGATGGATATTAAGATAAACAGGATTTGAACAAAACAGATTCTTCAATTCTGGACACATTCTCTGCTAAAAACTTTGATCCTGAAATGCTCACTCTTTTTTTGTTACATAGGGATGCTAATGATCCTCAAAGAGGTGTTTCAACTCTTAGTGCCTAGTGGAAAGTTTCTCCTTAATGTGATCCTAAGGATGGAATAGTGTTCTCTCCCTATAGTTAAATATTACACAAAATCAAATCTGTGTACTCTTTAAAATATGTTTTAACCACTAGTCGTCCCGACCTCACACTTCAGGAAACACAAGCATATAGAATGAAACATAAATCCCTTAGCCTGGTGTGTGGGCCAAAAGTAGATCTTAATTCTCTTCTTGAGCATTGCGGTTATCTTTCAGCATACACCCCATCCTGAAGTGAAATTGAACCACTACCTTCATACACATATCTGGAACTTCCCATATCTTGCTTATACTTTTGCTCTACTTAGAATGCTACCTCAAATGTTCCATTCTCCACCTATTCTCAAATGCTGCTTAAAACCTTTCTTGATTTCCTAACTTGAAGTATTTGCTTTTTCTAAGTTTCAAGAACTTAGGTTTCCCTTGGGCTATCTCATCATTAAACTCATCACTCAATATTGTAATTATCATCTGCATTTTTCTCTGGTAGGGCAGGCTGCATTCCTTAGAGACTTACTTATATTTACTCATCCCCAGCAACTAGCACATGGAATAGTACATAGTAGGCACTTAGAAAATCTCCACAGAATTGCATAATTGGGTTGGCTTTAGGCAAACCTGGCTTATAGTAATTAACTTTCTGCAGTATGATAGAAAGGAAACTTACCTGGAAATTAGGAAAGCTGAATTTTCACTGTGAAACTGAGTGTCAATGGACAATCAATTTCCCTGACCATTCTTCATAATATCACATCTGTCTCTGTTTAGGTAGAAGAACAAAAGTTTAGGCACTGGTACTTAAAAGGGCTGGAAAGAATGCCACTGAGGTAGGAAGGAAGGCTGTCTAGAGTTCCAAAGGTAAATCCTGCCCTAAGAGGTCATTGGTCATGACTTGTCCTGAGTACCCAAGGCTCTTTGTGGCCGATAACTCCTTTATAAGAATAAGGGAATTATACACTCTTTCTTAAGAGACAAAACACATGTACTCTGGACTGCATTTTTCATTCTTTTTTTTTTCAATGTTTTTTATTTATTTTTGGGACAGAGAGAGACAGAGCATGAACGGGGGAGGGGCAGAGAGAGAGAGGGAGACACAGAATCGGAAACAGGCTCCAGGCTCCAAGCCATCAGCCCAGAGCCTGACGCAGGGCTCGAACTCACGGACCGCGAGATCGTGACCCGGCTGAAGTCGGACGCTTAACCGACTGCGCCACCCAGGCGCCCCTGCATTTTTCATTCTTAAATTTCCTATTCCTCATCTATAATGTATGAGATGTTGTGTGGAAAATGTAATCAGTGTTGAGTGGTACCTAGCAAGTACTCAATAAGATATTAGTTTATAGGACTACACCAAAATAAAAATTTTTGCACAGCAAAGGAAACCATTAACAGAACAAAAAGGCAAACTAGTGAGAAGGAGATCATTGGCAAATGATATATCCAGTAAGGGTTAATATCCAAAATATATAAAGAACTTATAGGGGCGCCTGGGTGGCTCGGTCGGTTAAGTGTCCGACTTCGACTCAGGTCATGATCTCACAGCTCGTGAGTTCAAACCCCGCGTCGGACTCTGTGCTGACAGCTCAGAGCCTGGGGCCTGTTTCAGATCCCGTGTCTCCCTCTCTCTGCCCCTCCCCCGTTCATGCTCTGTCTCTCTCTGTCTCAAAAATAAATAAACATTAAAAAAATTAAAAAAAAAAAGAACTTACACAACTCAGCACCAAAAAAATCAGTAATTCAATTAAAAAAATGGGCTGAGGACCTAAAGAGACATATTTCCAAAGAAGGCATACAGATGCCCGACAGACACATGAAAAGTTGTTCAACATCACTGATAATCAGGGAAATGCAAGTCAAAACCACAAGGTATCACCTTACCCCTGTCAGAATGGCTAGAGTAAAAAAGACAAGAAATATGAAGTGTTGATGGGGATGCGGAGAAAAAGAAACTCTTGTGCACTGTTAGTGAGAATGTACATTGACACAGCCATTGTGGAAAACAGTATGGGGGCGCCTGGGTGGCTCAGTCCCTTAAGCGTCTGACTCTTGGTTTCCACTTAGGTCATAATCTCACAGTTCAGGAGTTCAAGACCCACATCGGGCTTTGTGCTGACTGTAAGGAGCCTGCTTGGGATTCTCTCTCTCTCTGCCCCTCCCCCTGCTCACACGCATGGGTGCTCTCTCCCTCTCTCTCTCTCAAAATTAATAAATAAACTTAAAAAAAAATAGTATGGAGCTTCCTCAAAAAAATGAAAAAGAAAAATACCACGTGATCTGGTGATTCCACTAGTGGGTATTTACCTAAAGGAAATGAAAACTTCACCTTGAAAAGATATGTGCATCCCCATGTTCATTGCAGCATTATTCACAGTAGCCAAGGTACGGAAACAACCCAAGCGTCCATTGATAGATGAAAGGAGAAAGCTGTAGTGTATATATACATATACACTACACATACGTATGTATACATGTATATACATTATGTATACTACAATCAATGGTATTGTAGTAACATTGTATGGTGATAGATGGTTGCTGCACTTGAAGTGAGTGTAGCATAACAGAGTGTAGCATAACGTATAAACGTGTCAAGTCACTACGTTGTACACGTGAAACTAATGTAACATTGTGTGTCACCTATACCTCAGTAATGAAAAAAAAAAGAGTAAGATGGCTCAAAAAACTAGTTTATTACTCTCGACTATTAAACTGCATCTGAAAAACATATGAACAATTCAGATCAAGTATAGGACATAGAACTCAAATTTTGCATACTTTCTTATAGCTGATGAAGATAATTTGGTAAAATTTGCTTTTGTCCCTGTTGTGATCTCTGCCTTCCCCTCTCACCCACTAAACTGAATCTCTTTTCATGGTTTCTGATGTCAGTGAACAAATGACCCTCAAGCACTTCTCACCTGCAATCGAAACATTACTTTCCTTCATAGATTTCCATGGAAACAAAGCTACAGGGAAAGGGGAAGGAGCGGCTGGGGGTGGGGCGGGATGGGGAGGGTGGGAGGACGACAGACTCACAGTGAAATTTCCTCTGGACCCTAGGCACGTGGCTCAGACATGGCTGCTTTACTTTCTTAATAATTTTAATCTCACCCATGACTATGTTTGTGCTTCCCTTCTAAACAAAACTAAGTATTTAAGATCTTTCTGACCACTCAGTTTCGTATACATATCGGTAGAATGACTAGGCATAGGACTCCTTATTGACTGTGTTTGATTTAGCCACTCTTCTCCCCTTATAATTGTGCTTCGGCTGCTGATCTCTTTTCTTTCCATTCCTTCTCCACCCCACTCCTCACTTTGCCCAGAGCCATTTAGATTTATTAACAGTTCCTTGACTGTTTGTTCGATTTGATCTACAGTTCATGGTCTATGCTGAAATTTGATTCATGAGTCTTTTTTTCTTTATCCCGTCTGATTTCATTCCATGACACCTTGTCCCCACTTGTGATTTCTCTGTGATCTCCTGTCCCATTTCCTCCAATGGCTCCAATAAAATGTATGGCTTCTTCTTCCATTTGCTCTAATCACTTTTAGGCAGTCATTATGCTTAAATATTTAGCCTCCATTGATTTTCACTTGCACATCACCATTTAGTTAAGACTGTGATGTCAAATATCCTTTATAGCTTTTTCATTCCTCTCTTTTCCTTGTCATGCTTCTTTGCTCCTGCATAGAATTTCCTCACAAATTTCCCTGGAGTGACTTTCTGAGATGGGCCTCTATTTTTTTCTTCTTAGGCTGTAGGCTTTCCATTTCACTGCTTAATTATTTTTTTCTGCCTCTGCTATGTTAACTATTCTCTCATCTTCTCCCCCTCCTTTTGCTCACTAATGAGCACAGTTGCTGATTCTTAATACAATCTTCTGATTTAGGGAAGCTGATGAAATGGGGGACAAGAGGTTTTCAACTGCAGCTACTCTCAAATTTCTGCTACACTGCGATAGGGTTGAGCAGAAAGGAGAAAATGTTAGTTAAGTAATGTATGAAGGACCAATACGGTAAGTTACACACACAAGCTAGAACAAAGCAAAATGTTAGTCTTATAAGCAGAACTCTGGCCATGAGATTGAGGAATTAAGGCGAGTGCAGGGGTGTCTGAATTTGGGAAGGTAATGTAGCAACGAGCTCTGATACTCAAGGTGTGGTTTGTAGAATGGTAGCCTTGGCATCAGCTAGAGGCTTGTTAGAAACGTGGGAGCTTTGGTTCCATTTCAGATCTACACAATCAAATCTGCATTTTATTTATTTATTTATTTATTTATTTATTTATTTATTATTTATTTGTTTTTGAGAGAGAGAGAAAGAGAGAGAGAGAGAGCGCGCGAGCATAAGTAGGGGAAGGGGAGAGAGAGAGGGAGACACAGAAAGTGAAACAGGCTCTAGGCTCTGAGCTGTCAGCGCAGAGCCCCACGCAGAGCTGAACCCCACCAACTGGGAGATTATGACCTGAGCCGGAGTCAGCCGCTTACCCAGCTGAGCTACCCAGGTGCCCCTCCAATCTGCATTTTTTAAAATAGTTACGTGCACATTACAGTTTGAAAGCACTGGCGTAAAGTAAAACATCCTTAAAATTCAGATCAATAAACTCCCTAGGCAAACTTTGAGTCAGTGACTTGACCTCTTTGGATTTCTGTTTACTCACTCGTGAGCTGTGTGTAATAATAACTAACTTTTGTTGTAAGGAATAGAAATAGTGTACGGTTTTTGCAGCAATAAATACTAGCGATAAATAGTAACAGCTAAAATTGTAGATTTCCATAGAACAGGGAGGGTATTTTAGTTTAGGGGACTTTAAGGAATGTAGCCTGACTACATTTTAAGTTTAAAGTCATTGAAGAAAGAAAATACCTACTTCTGAAAATATTCCCATTTTTTTTTCTCTGCTATCTGAAACAAAACCCCATATTTCTCACACCATATAGATGAAAGCTAAATTATCTTGTGAATGCTCAAGGTATTAACACATAAGCAAATGTTGAAGTGGTGTATACACACCAGACAAATGGATTAAATGTTCACCTTTGGTATCATTTCTGGAACTTCTCTTTAGTAACAAAGAGTAATGACTGGACTTGGCTTTGAGTCTCAGTTCACTTACTAATTTTGTATGCTTGGCCAAGTCACAGAACTTTTGGGGGCTTCAATGTTCTCATCTGTAACACGTAGGAAAGAATAATTCACAAGGTTGATTTGAGAGTCAAACACCAATAAGGTGAGAGCGTCGTTATGGATTCAATCTCCTGTGCAGCCACCAATTCATTCCACAGACATTTACTAACTGCCCATTATGTTCTAGTGCACTGGAAAGGGCCCTGGACATCTAAGTGCGAAGCGGACATAGTCCTTCTCTCAAGGTGCTCACTCTCTTCAAAAGAAAATGTGTAAAATTAGCTCTGACCAATAATAATGAAAATCAGGCACCTTACTAGACACGCTAGGCTCTTTGCTTGTTTCTCAGGGCGACTGAGGCTTAGGGAGGCTAAGTAGCTTCCCGAGGGTATGTAGTTAGTCAGTGCCAGATACAAAATACAACAAACCCTACTAGGATCTATAGAATAAGCACGGTGCAAAAGGTAGCTACTACGATCCTGGCAGAGGGCAGAATTCAGAACTAGATGGCTTTATTGGAAACTCCTCAGCTCCCGGAGTCCCAGTTCTGTACCTTTTCCTGAGAAATGAATTCCTTCCACTGTGTGCTGTTTCTCTTGTATGGATGCATTCCCCAGAGCTGGGACTGAGAAGTCACCTGCAGGATACAGAGTCTCACTCTCTTTCCATCTTCATTGCAAGGGGGAAAAAAAAAAAAAAAAGAAAGGAAATTTTGGTGGTAAAATTTCATGCACCTTTTAACTCCCCAGCAGCCATTTGGTCTCTGCTATTTCTGTTTTGTGGATGCCTTTCTTTTATGAGTTATTTCCCCTTAAATTTTAAGGACATGTATCTTCATGAAAAGAACAAAAGAAGAAAAACAACTTGTAAATTATCACAAGAAAAACCCCTGCTAAAAACAATAAGTTTGCTGACAGATGGCAGAATCAGTTGAAAAGCGAGTACCATATTTACTAAGTCTAACCCATTTAGTAAGCCAAAAAAGTGTTATCTAATTCTATCCCCTGTGTCTGTGTGTGTTTTGGAATAAACAGATGCCTAATGAGGAATGCGTCTAGTGCAGTTTTGAAGGAACCTGGATAAACCCAGGTTCTGATTCAGGGTTTGATTTTGACAAATATAAAAGTGTACAAAGTCAAATCTATTGTAAATAAAGTTGTCAGAGCAAAAACAGCATTAAAATGCTGTCAAAGCAACATTATTTTTCAAAAACAACACACCCCAGAATTATTGTGCCACATAAATTTGCTTTTAGAAATCTCTCTATTCTTCATACAGTTTTATAACAACTCGAAAGTACTTAAAAGGAGGACACAAGCCCTGTCATCATTAGGAAAGCTGGACGTGTGCCTGGCCAGTATAACAAGTTTGAATATGATGAAGCTTTTTATAAAAAACTATTTTACAGAAAATGGAAATAATCCATCGAGGCTTACATTTGTTTATATTGTATAGGACATGGCTGAGACTCGGAGGGCGTGCCTTCCCACCCTCACTTTCTTCCCCCAAAAGCCTAGTTTTCTAAAAGCGAGAAATGCTAATCTTATGACTATTTTATTTTGAATTATGAGTTTTGAGACTGTGTATTCAGATGAAGATGTTTCAGGATCCAGTCTAAACCATGAAGAATAAATAAAGTCTGGGATACTGTATACATAAAAAGAACTTAGAACAGACTCAAATTCTAAGTGAGCACATGTACCATGGTTTCTAGAAAGTGGACTGATGGGTTCTTATTTAATGCTTCTGTGAGTTTCTTCAGGTGAAATGTTGAGATCGGTGGTTTGTACAAGGTCAGCATGGTATAGATAATCCTCTGTAGGTAGCCAACACACATGGAGAAAAAGCCAAAGAGTTTCTTTTCTTTTTGGCCTTTCTCTCTTTTAGTAAAATTGTGGAAACATGATTAAATGATGAACCAATTAATATCACACAAAGTAAACTTTCTTTATGCTGGAGATAAAGAAAACTATGTCACAATGGTCAAAAGGTCTATTCACTGAGAACATACAGGCCTGAATGTGTGTGTCTCACAACTTCAAGGTACAGGAAGCCAAAATGACAGAGACAACAAGCCAAATAGAAAAAGCATCCAATCATAACTGATGATGTTAATGATCCTCTCTTGGTAATTGATAGAACAAGGAAAAAGCAAAGCAGAAAAGATAGATAGATACGAACAATTATCAACTGGATCTATAGAAACTCAGATCTATAGATCTGATTTATAGAACCTTACACCTATTGATTGCAGAATATGCATTGGTTTCGCTTGTATATGGAACATGTGACCTCACTGGGCTTTAATTTTCATTTTTGTGAGTAATGAACATAAACATACTTTATGATTACTGGCTATTTGACTCTTGGTATAGGTGCTATTGACGTCCTGAATAGACCTTCTTCACTAGGACAGGGCAACTATGTTTCAGCTACTAATAACAGCTTACGGTTGCCTCTTTTAGAGGATTGCCATTGGCTTATGGGAGCCACCCCACCCAGTAGAAGCCACCTTGCTTGGCATTTCTAGAAAGATATGCCGCCCTACCAGCGGTGGCCCATAGCTGGTGACCAGCTGATGTGAGAGTTAGCTACCTTGTGTTTGAGCAGGACAAGCTGTGCGGTACAATTCATGTTCCAGAGCTCTTAATAAAATCAGGCTGAGGTTAGATTAAAAAAAAAAAGCACAGTGTTTGGCTTTTCCTCTTTCCCATGCCTGCCAGGGATGGGGGGATGGGAGCTGTGTGCGTGGAGGGAGGCAGTGAGGCTGTGGCCATTGCCAATACTTCCAGTTCAGTCCACCCAAGAGAAGTACGGAAACAGACTCAAGTCTTCTCACTTTGGTCTTTGTTTCTTTAAGACAGAAATTGCCGATAGTAAAAGGAGAGAATCTGTTGGCTGCTTCTTATCAAAATGATGACACACTGAATTATAAGAACAGGATAGCTTTTATTTCCTTGATTTGAGTCCTAAAAGCTTTTTAAATACAACATTACCAACAGGGGGGTTGAGTAACCTTCAAGTAGGTAGAGCTAACCCTGTAAAGCTAGTCAATAATACACATTTTCTAGGTGGTAGCTGGTGTTTTTCCCTTTCCTTCTAAAATACAAAGAGTTCTAGTTCATGGAAAGGTCCCAGAGAAAATTCTTGACTCTTTTCTGGGTGGGTTCAACAAAGATTCAAGCACTGAGTTCCCTGTTTTTCTTTCCAGTAATTTGCTGAGCTGTGCTGTGCTGCTTGGCAAGCTACTTAACCTTTCTGAACCTGAATTTAGAAAACTCCAAAATACCTGACACATTTCTCCAGAGGCACCAGTGGAATTGGCGAATGATTCAGCAAATGTGTTTTATGATTCCTGGAAAAGGAAGCTCATATCTTTTTATAAGTACTGCGTAATGTAAAATAAGTCTTATCACACACTTCGCCCGTCTATCCTAATGTATTAATTTAAATGAATATTCTAGTTTTTCCTTACTTATGTTTATTTTATTTATGCATTCCCTCTTTTTAGAAAGTCAACCTGTATCCTTCATTTGGAAGCAAAGTCAGGAAAAGCTAGTCATTGAGCATACCATACTAATTAGTTCTTTCTGATTTTTATTCTTCTGACTAAAAAACTAAAATATATTGGATTAAAAAAACCTTCAAATATAAAAATGTATGACTTAGGTCAGTGGCTAGATTTGGCTTCACTGTGGTTGCCAGCCTGTGATTTAGCTAGTGGAAGAATTCCATATTCACTCCACCTCAAATACAAACTCTCTCTCATCCATTATGTATTTGTGGTTTGGTTTATATGCTTCAGTAGATTTTTTCCTATACTTATTAATTAATAACCAGAATAACCTCATAGAGAAATTAGCTATATATAACATTCAGCTGTAGGATGATAATAATAGTATGAGAGGCAATTTTCTCCATCTGACCCCTCTAACTCACTCTTGCCTCCAACCCCAAAACAATGGAGTCTTCCTATCTTTATTTCCAAAATTTAGACTTTTAACTTTAGTTTTTGTCTTACATTTACCATCTCTTCAAAACTATTTTTTCAAAATTTTTATTTTCAACAATTTTCAATGTTTATTTATTTATTTTTGAGAGAAAGAGAGCACAGCAGGGGAGGGGTAGAGAGAGGGGGGCAGACACAAATCCAAAGCAGACTCCAGGCTCTGAGCTGTCAGCCCAGAACCCATGTGGGGCTTGAACCCACCAACCATGAGATCATGACCTGAGCAGAAGTAGGACGCTTAACTGACTGAGCCACCCAGGCACCTCTTCAAAAATTTTAAGCCCGAAGAAAAGTACAATGCATACCCATATAACACTCACCTGAATTCACCAACTGTTAACTTTTTGCCACATTTGCTTTATCTCTTTCAAACACAATTACTTTGCTGAAATATTTGAAAGTAAGTTGCAGACCGGCAGACATTATGGCTCTTAACCTCTTTATACCTCAACATAAATCCCCCGAAGCAAGGACATTCTTTTACATAAACACAAAACCACTGTCACACTTCCAAACTAGCAGTGATAGAGTAATATTATTTAGTACACAACTATCTGCAAACATCTTTCCGCTGACCCTTCTCCACTCCCCAGCCTGAAATCAGAATCCAATTAAGGATCACATGTGGCATTTGTTTGTCATGTGTTTTTACTCTTTTTAATATAACACGGCCCCCTTGCCTTTTGTCTTTTATGACATACTATTTTTGAGGGATTAATTGATATGTCGAATGCCTTCAAATCTGGATGAGCAAAATAGCTTCCTCATTCCTAGATTCAAGTTAGATATTTGGGCAAGAATATTATAGAGGTGCTTTCTTGGACTTTACATTCTAGCACATCAGAGGCGTAAAGTCTGTCTGTCTCGTTGATAATGTTAACTGGAATTATTAGGTTAAAGGCATATCTCCCAGCTCTCTCTTTGCAACCAAGAAGTACTCTGTAGTATACGACTTTGAAATTATGTGAATAGCCTGTCTCTCAATAATGTCCCAATCTTGGAGTGTGAGCAAAAGCACTATTTTCTAATTTTTAAATTCCTTCTAAGTTTATTACTCGTCATTCTTATGTAAATAAAAGCTTTACCTTCTCTCTCATCCTTTTTCTTTAAGTATTATTATGGTCTCATGGATTTTTTTTTTTTCCTCAGTGTATTACAGCCTAACACATCATTCTTTTTTGATGCTCAAATTGTATGTAGTTTGGCCAGCCAAGCCCATCAAGCTGGCTTTTGTCTTTGAGACATGTCTCCATTATTGTTTGGACAGTTCAGGGCAGAATTTTCCAGGCTTACCTTGTATTTTCTCTTCCTATACTTAGCATCAATCTTCTCTCCAAGGAGTTTTGTTTTCTTCTAGAGATAGTATTTAGACATCAAGATTTTGGTACTAGATGTCCTCAATGCTACTGGGATGCCATTTCTTCTAGATGGTTTGAAGGACAGCTGGCATATATATCTTTAAAAACATCATGTGGTTCATATGGGTGCCTCCAATTTAAATTTATCACCACAGAGTTCTTTATCTTCCCCCCACTCCATATTTACATCTTTTTTCCCTTAGTAAGAACCTTGATTCCAAAATACATCATTCTATTTACGCATGTGTTCTATAGTAATGAAAAAAGGTTAGGTTATTACTTTAA